CTCTCCCTGGTTCTTGGCGGCTTCTGGATGGCTTGCCTGTTGTTCTTGGAGCGGAACTTGGCACTGGCAGCGTCGATTGCTGCTTTCGAATGTTACTTACTGCATGTGTCGGGCCTGACTGTTCGAACACTGGGCCTGGTGGCAACGACGCCACAGTGTTCGAACAGTTCGACCGTTTCTTGGCCGTCTTTCGAGGTTTTTTTTTTTTACAGTTGGTCTTTTTTTTTTTTTTTTTTTTTCACAGTTCTACCATTATCGGACTTATGCCTGCCATCCTTGTGCCTGAGCCTACACGGACACTCGGTACCGGTCTTTTTTTGGGCCTCGTCTTCAGAAGTTAATACCCAGTATCCGTAGTATAACGCACGTGCGTGCGTTGTATTCGTTATTAACGCACGTGCGTTTTGTTCGGGGGAAGACTGTAGCTCTAACCAGTACGCCCGTGTTCTGTTCCAAATTCTTTGTGCATTAGAACAGTTTATCAGACATTGTAGCACGTCCTCGGGGGATCCATCATCGCAGACTGCGCAGCTATCGTCGAAATCTCTTCTACCAGTTCCCGACCGCCTCCTGCTGAGCCATGTGTTGACCGGCAAGGCGTGATAGTATACAAGCCATTGCATGCTTCTTATACGAGTATTTCTGATGGCGAGGGGAACCTGACAGTCAAGCTTCTCCGTGTTGCCTAGGCACCCCGGAATATATTTCTCCCAATGCTGAGACAAGATGAGCTCTGTGTTCACCCGATTACGTCTAAGTTTATAGCCGAAACTAGTTGAGTAGTCTAGGATATTGGTACGCTTCTGCACCCCCGTTGGCATTGCCCTTGTTTTCCATGCCCACTCTGCCGCGCCAAACTCCAAATCCTGTAAGGCTGTTCCCGGCTGATAAGTTCTGTAGTCTTCGTCCTCCACCACTCTGATTTTCCTGAGGAAGGACAGTTTGGCTGTGACTCGGGCACGTATTGTTTTAGAGACCCTGCTGATGTTGTTTCCTGGCTGTTCTATGTCGTGGATGGTCCATAGTCCCCAGTCCCCTGCCGGGCCTGTTGACTTTACCTATGACAATACTTCTGTGGGAGTGTTTTGTGACTTCCATGTAGCCCACTCCCCTGATGTCCAGGCGGGAGGCGCTTGTAAGAGTGCCACCCAGTCCTGTGGTATGGATTGTAACATCGCCTGCCTGCTGTCCTCCAAGTTGTGGCATCCTTTGAGAGTTGTTATGAGCTCCGCTGTTGTCTTCCAACGATTGCAGTGATGGTTCCAGATGTGTTGAAGTTGCCAGACACCCTTTTCTAGCTATGTAATCCAGCGGGTATCCTGTGTCATCAGAGTCCATGGTTTATCGGAGGGGTCTTTCAACCATTGGTTGCAGAAGAGGGGCTGCACCTGATGTCGGAGGGGTTGCCAGACACCCTTTACAGCAGGACTTCCTCTCTGATTGTTGGACTTCGAACCTTGGCCGGGAAGATCTCTAGCCAGATCCTGATGAGATACATCCAGTACTCCAAGCGGGTGGGCGGCTGCACCTGTTGTTGCTGGTTAGTCCGTTGCACGCTGCTGTGAGTCGCCTAAGACTTGGACATTACCCAGAAGAGCCCTTGCATGTTGGACGGGAAGGTGGTTTAGGCAGCTGTCTGATCCTGTTCAAGGGCAGCGTAGTCCAGGGGGGTCGTTGATGTAGTAGTAACTTGACAATCCACTTCGTTTGAAGGGCCTTGGTTTAAGTAGCCGGATCAAGGACTGCCAAACCACCTTTACCCTTTGGTTGGATGATGTGCGATCAAGCCACCTTTGGTATGCAGCGCTGTGTCGCAGGATTCCCGGTCCATAAGTAAGCAGTCGCTCACCGTTTGGGGGCTGTGACCATGTTACCTTCTGGTGTCCAGATGGTGGCTGCATACCACAACATGGAAAAAATGGACGCGTTAAGTACCAGCGCCCTTCCGAAGACTGACGTGTAGATGCTGGACCAGGTGTCCATTTTGTGTAACATCTTCGTCAGCATCTCCGGTGCCATGACCTTGTTGTGTCCGGAATCTGCAAGCTTGATTCACAGAAAACGCAGGGGCGTTCTTGGATTTTGCCATGAACCCTATTGGGGAAACTTCATGGGGAGGTTGCGCACTGTCTGCCAGCCACCAGCCCATGGTCTTGCGCCAGTTGACTTTCATTTCTGAGGCCAGCTGGAATGCTTGCATAGCTCTGATAAGTCCCTGAAAGGAAGCATCGGAGGCCTTGATGATGGCTGTGAGATCATCCGCAAAGAGTAGTGTAGTTGGAAGGGTCACCGCATGTGCGTGGAGAGTCGGTTGAGCGACCAGTCTGTCGATGGACAGATCCTTTCGCAGAAAGGATGCTATCGCTTCCATCATGAAGAGAAACAAGGGTGCCACGAGCGGGTCGCCTTGGCAGACCGAGCGTGAAATCTTGAAGGGATTGGAGAGGAATCCATTGACTTGGACCTGACTATGGGCGTCATTATACAGTACTCTGACCCATCTTCGAAAGTTTGGTCTCACCCCCATCCGTTCCATACACTGCTGATGGAAGTTCCAGTTAACTTGGTCGTATGCCTTTTCAAAACCGAAGAACGGTATGGCTGCGTTGAGTCGTCTGTCCTTGATGTAACGAGTTGATTCTGTCAAAGTCATGACATTGTCGAGAATGGCGTTCAACATTTTCTATGGAAGTTCAGCACTGGGGGCTTAGCAGGCCCTTGTGTCATACAATCAGTTCCAAGACCGTTCTTGCTTGAGGCAAAAGACCTTGGCTTGCGACATATAAGATATCGTCATTGAACTGACCGGCCCCAGTTGGTTCAGAATGATTTTGTTCTGGTCATCTGATTGTATCTGGATTCAAACTTGGGTCTTCATTTCAATTGTCGATGGGTGTACCAACTGAGCGGCCCGAGGGTAACATCTCCTTTTCAATTCTGTAGGGAAAAATCAGTTCCGTCCTTCGGGACATCCGTTAAAATTGGAACGATACAGAGAATATTAGCATGGCCCCTGCTCAAGGATGACATGCCTAAATCGAGAAACGGTCCAACTTCGAAATAAAAAAAGAAAAAAAGTTCCGTTCTCCAACTCACCTTCCGCCGTTTTTTCCCCGGGGTGAGGTGCACTGTGAGTTGGCATGTATTCCATCCACTGTAGATATAAAGAATTCGTGCGCATCCTGCTGCTCATAACCTGCCAGATTCTCTGCATGTCTCCACCAGCTGACACGTGGACAACAAATACAAGAAACGATATCAGGCCAATGAACATATCCAATCAACAAACCAGTAAAAATATCAACCAACAAATCAATCAACAAGAACGCCTGTCCTTTGAACCACATGGGACCAACTGGCCTAATCAGTTGGTACACCCTTGAGCTGTTGAAATGCAGACCTGAGTTCAAACTCCAGATGAGTAAAATACTATAATTGAATACTGCCCTTTCTGAAAGGAAAAAAAAAAAAAAAAAAACACGTGACAGTTTTCTGTCATTCACCTCGCCCCACAAACCCTTAGCCTTGTTTGCCTAAACAAATCAATCAAATTTAATCAATGATTCAATGAATGAATCAATCTATAAATCGATCAGAAAGAATCATTCAAATCAATCAATACATTAATCAATAAATCAATCAACAAATCAATCAACAAATCCATGAGAAATCTGCAAACAAATCAATGAACAAATCAACTGAAAGATCAATCAATATATCAAATCAATCTATAAATCGACCAACAAATTAATCAACCAATCATTCAACATATCAATGAAGGAATTCATGTCTGTGAAAGAAAAACATAGAATCCAGGCAAGGTCGAAAACGAAAACGGATCCAGATTCCAGACCAATGGGCCTACCGTCTTCACCCGAATAGAATGCCAGGTCATTATAGCCGTATCTGGGGCAATTTTCTGTCCCGATGCAGCATTAATGACCAGGCGTTCTCTATTCGAAAGAAGACGGTAGCTCAGTTGGTACACCGATGAACTGTTCAAATACAAACCTGACTTCGAACTCCAAATCCACACGAATGAAATCAAATAATTTCTGAACTACCTCGGGCCGGTCAGTACAACGATGATATCCCAAAGCCATCGCCCTTTTTCTTTGAAAAAAAAAAGAGAGAGAATCCAGGAAAATCAGGAATAAACAAATCCAGCTAACCAGACCAGAAAAAATGAGGTGTGGACCCAAAAAATCAAGAAAAGGGTAAAAGGACCAAAACATAAAAAATCCAGGTGCGTGGACCACCAGAAAAAGAAAAGAAAAAAACAGATAAGTGGGACCTTGTGCCCCATGATCGACAAGTCAGAATATTGTTTGTTGACAACTGCGGGCAGATCGCCAAGTCTGAAGATCGACTGACAAAAGTTCTGATTGACATGATGAGACTGAAGGAATATTCCCACAATAAAAAAGCTCAGAATGAATCTGGGCGCATTTGCGGTCAGATTGCTTGACGTCAGGGAGGTCTACTGTGGGCACATCCAAATAAGACGGCAAAAAAAGAGAATCAAGCGGCTCATATCCATCCAGAACCAGAGTAGCTACTGAACAACGTGCATTTAGGGCATCAGGCCCCGCCGTGCACGCACGGCCTCGAACCGGCACCCTCAGCCTCAAGAACAAAGTCTCATAACCACTACAGCCCTTGGAGGTGTTATAAAAACTGGATCCATACCGGTCCTGATATCCAGCCCACCTCCACGGCTGTAGCGTCCTTGAACTCGCACACCACACACACACAATACCATACCATGGACACGATAATCAACACACTCCGCTCGGACAACACGCAGTCCCACCACCGCTACTTAACCTGGTCACTCCAAGACGGGCAACTGCCCGTGGGTTCCACAGGCGCATTCACAGTAGTTACTGAACAATGTGCATTTAGGGCATCAGACCCCAACACACTCCGCTTGGACAACACGCAGTCCCACCACACTCCGCCTGGACAACACGCAGCCCCACCACCGCTGCTTAACCTGGTCACTCCAAGACGGGCCAACCGCCGGTGGGTTCCAAAGGCGCATTCACAGTAGTTACTGAACAACGTGCATTTAGGGTATCAGGCCCCGCCGTGCACGCACGACCTCGAGCCAGCACCCTCAGCCTCAAGAACGGAGTCTTGTAACAACTACAACCCTTGGAGGTGTTAAAAAAACTGGATCCATACCGGTCGTGATATCCCGCCCACCTCCAGGGCCGTAGCATCCTTGAACTCACACCAAACACACACAACATCACACTACGGACACGACAATCAACACACTCCAGATCTCGATCAAACAGTCAAAGCAGAGATCCCGATTGAACGGTCAAAACAGAGATCCTCATCAAACGGTCAAAACAGAGATCCAGATCAAACGGTCAAAACAAATCTACAGCCGGGCCGCATGGGTCCCGGGTGGCCAGCCCGTGCAAGGACCAGGGAAGGTCCCAGCAAAAAAAAAGAAAAAAAAAAAAAAGAAAACCGAAAAAAAACTATATTATGCAGAAAAATAAACTGAAGAACCTTTGCCTCAGGGTCACACCGAAATTCTTCACCAAATTTATAAAAAAAAAAAAAAAAAAAAAAAAAAGAAGTTTTTACTTTCATTTTTGTATTTTTTTTTGGCTCGGCCGGGCAAGTGACCCCGGGCCACTCTGGTAGCCTAGGCGGCGCAGCAATAGACTGGATTTTTTTTATTTTTTTTTATTTTTTTTTGTAGGGGGAGGGCGGGGGAAGGGGGAGTGGGGGAATTAGAAGCGCATTAGGCTACCCAATCGAATCTTTATCGTTGCAACTTCCAATCGAAAAATCATCGATCCACCGATCTTAATTTTCATCGCTCTTTTCCCGCTTCGATAAGCGAACCGTTGTTTACCAATTGTTTGATGCATCGTTCAAATTACTGCTGCCGAGATCTGCAGTTAACGTCGAAATTTCAATTCAAATTCAGTTTCGATCAGTTTCAGTTCAATTTAAATTAATTTTAAATTAATTTCAATTTGTGTCCAATTCAATTTCAATATTTCACTATCAAGTTCAATGTCAATGACTTCTGTTCCAGTCCAATTCCAATCCAATTTCAATTCAATTTCAATGTTCAAAGCAAAAATAACCTTCCCCCTAGATTCGAAAGCTAGCAAGTCGAGCGCCTGGCCTTTGACGGGACATCACAGATGAAATAGCCATCACCTAACCAAACCGTTTTTGGAAAGATCCAGGAAAGAAAATCACAGCCTTTAAAATTGAAATTGGGCCGACACAGAGAACATTGGAACGGTATGACGAATTAGTTAATTAATTAATTAATTAATTAATTAATTGGCTAAGAATAATTACACGCACAGATCGAGAAATGGCCCTGCAGTCTCTCCACGGAAACAACATATGGTATGGTCTGTGTGGCATCGTGTTCGAACGTTTGGGACCGAACGCGAACGAGCGCCGAAACTCTCCGAACGCTAACATAAAAATATTAAAAAAAAAAAAAAAAAAACAAGTCCTCCAAAAAATCTGAAAAAAATATATGTGATGTAAAATAATAATACAAACAAGTCCTCCTCAAATTCGTAACCAAACTCGAGTTCGAAATCAAAAACCCAAAAAAAAGTTTTTTTTTTTTTTTTTTTTTTTTTTTTAATATGTTCGGCCGAACATGTTCGGACGTTCGGAAAAGCTCCAAACATGTTCGGTGTGCTACACAGGGTATGGTTTCATTGGTTTGGTAGTTATTATAAGACAACTAGTTCATTAGAAAATTTGATCTCCATGGCTAGGGAAATTGGGAAATTCTACGGCAACCACTACCAAATGAACTTGGATGGGCAGACAGCCAGATGCAGGCTCTGAACCTGCGTAGCATGGCGAACGTGTTCGCGCCCCTTCACGTTCGCGCAAACATAATTTTTTTTCCGTATAAAAAAAGAAAATATATTTTGTCGGTTTTTTATTTTTAACTCATGATTGGCTACGAATTTGAACATGACTCCAAGGCAAAAGTTGCTTGTATTGTTATTTTACATAACATATATTCTTTTCAGATTTTTTTGAGAACGTTTTTTTTTTTTTTTAATATTTTTTTTACGTTCGCGTTCGGAGGGTTTTGGACGCTTGTTCGCGTTCGCCTCCGAACGCGAACACGGTGCTACGTAGCTCTGAAAGGAATGCGACCAGTCAGGCTGCAGTAATTCTGAAGCCTGCGCCACTTGCCGATTAGTCGGCTGGTCCTCGATCAATGCAGCACATACTCGAGCTACAGCTCCTCCTCACTAGCCTTCTTCACCTGAATACAACGTACGATCATTATAGTTGTATTTGGGGTATCTTTCAGTCCAAATACAGCAATAATGACCGTATTGCAAGGAATATGAGCGAGAGCGATAGACCGAAATCCAGATTGCAAAATCACGTAGTAGTCAGATAGTCATGTACCAAGCAGAGAGCACAATGCACCAAGATTCCATCCAAATAAGAGCAATACAGTGAACCTAAATGTCAATGCCGATGCTTTCTGGCCACACCAACATAGTGGCGCTCCTACTGAGTGGTGCCCGGCGCCCAGCCTACACTACTCAGCCTATCTATCCTATCTACATTCATGCAACAGGACACATCGAAGATGAAGACCACTGTACGTGACGTCATCGCCGATGCAGACCGCCAACATACACCAGGTTCGTTCTCTCGCCTCCCCTCATCACACCCTGTCTCCCCTCTGCATGTGCCTCCTACCCAAAGACCACCATTGCCATCACCTGCCTGCGCCCCAGCGGCCCGGCTACGGCCGCCGTGCGCCCTCTGCCACCCCAGCGCCCCTCTCAGCTCTTGCGCCCGCGCGCGTGTTCCAGCCTGCCTGCTAGTGCAGCTACCGCACGACAAAGCAGCAGCGTGGCCGCATTGCCTGCTCAGGCCACAACGCGCGTGCCCCTGGGCTCACACTTTCCTTATATGGAAAGTGTGCCCTGCCGCTGGCCGTCCTGGCCTGGCGTGTAGGGGCCCAGTAGATTCCAGTTGGCCCCAAGTGTCTGCGCCCAGGCCCAGTTTCAGACACTGGCATGGGCCTCGTGCAGTTAGGCACGTCAAGGTAACCCTCCAGGCTCCAAGTGTTTGCCGCATTCTCAGTGGCTCGTGTTAGATGTGTGACAACAATGCTTCATTCTCATTGGTCCACGGCCACTGTGTGACGTGTCCGCTTCCCACTGCATCTGCCCAGGGCGCAACCCCTGAGCCCTGGGCTCAACTGTACAGCGCAGCTGTTGCTTCTGGAAGGAGCCACAGAAGGCTCACATTGCTCGGTAAGCAACTGGCGGGCTGCAACTGTCTGATACCCCATGTACGAAAAATGTTGGAAATAGACCTCTCCTGGATGTACAGGCCCGCCTTCACTTAGGGCGGGCACGAGGCTTGCTGGGGGCCGCAACCCAGAACATTTGCATGCCTGAGAAGGGCCTAGCAAGGGCTCATTCCTTGCAGTATGTTGTGTTCAGGTGAAGAAGGGTAGAAGAATCTCGAAGCCTGCGCCCCTTGCACTACGGCCATGGGGCTAGATGCAGCAACGCGCCAAGCCAAGGCAAATATCAAGTGACGAGAAAATTGCAAAGGGGGAGGTGACGGGGCGGACGGGGGAGGAGGGGGTGGTGTGAGTGTTGTTAGCTTACGTAAAGGGCATCCAGCATAAATTAGGAAAAACAGGAGGTCGATTGCCTGGTAGAAAAAGGGAGAGAGGGGGCTGGGGGCGGACGGGGGGGGGTGTTAAGGGGGGGAGGGTGTGCCGATGGGGTTGCATAGGCCAGCGAAAAGCCTTCACTACCTTGCCATCCCTTTTTCGATGCCTTAAACTTAACCACCTTCCCCTCTGTTTCCCAAACCTTGACCAACCACCTCCATTTTCCTGCTGCTGTGCTCCCATCGAAACAAATCCCCCTCTCCTCAAATTGCATTCAAAACGCGGTCTTGATTCACCCATTCACTCAGTAGGGGGCACCTCACTCTATCTACCATATTCCACCTTTTCCTTTCTATCCGGCGCCAGCGAATCGCCAGCTACAGAGATGTCACCTTATCTGGCGACCTTGGATACACACCACCCTCCTTGTCTACAGTAGAATTCAGAATTCTCTTTGGCCTCTCTCTCTCTCTCTCTCTCTCTCTCTCTCTCTCTCTCTCTCTCTCTCTCTCTCTCTCTCTCTCTCTCTCTCTCTCTCTCTCTCTCTC